GGGATGAGCCCGAGGCTGGTTATCGGGTGGCGATCTCCGGGGGGCGACCGCGACCGATCTCGTCTCCAGCGGAGGGGATCCCGGCGGGGAGCCCGACGGCCAGGACCCCCCTCCCCTCCCTCCGCCGCGCGTCGGGGGTCCAGGCCTGGGGTGGAGGGTTTCTCCGACGGGCTTAGGCGACCCCTCCTCCTCCTCCTCCTCCTCCTCCTCCTCCTCCTCCTCCTCCTCTCCTCCTCCTCCTCCTCCTCCTCTTCCTCCTCCCTCCTCCCTCCTCCTCCTCCTCCTCCTCCTCCTCCCTCGTCCTCCTCCTCCTCCTCCTCCTCCTCCTCCTCCCTCCTACCTCCTCCTCCACCTCCTCCTCCTCCTCCTCCTCCTCGGGTCGCCTATGCGGCCCCTGGGGAAACCGTGCAGCCGGGGGCACTTCTCGTTCTTCCGGGGTCGGTCGGCAGCGGCCCCCCCCCACGAGGCGGCGGCGGCGGTGGCTCTCTTGGTGGAGCGCTCCGGCGAGCCTCGCGCACCGAGGAGACCAGGGCAGGGGCTCGTTTCGATTCTTCGGCTTCGAGCCGAGTCGACCTCGGTGGCTTCCGATTCCGATTCGATGCGGTTTCGGGTTCGATTCGATGGGATGCGATTCGAGCTCCAGGGGGCGACCGCGACCGATCTCGTCTCCGGCGGAGGGGATCCCGGCGGGGGGCCCGACGGCAGGACCCCCCTCCCCTCCCTCCGCCGCGCGGCGGGGGTCCGCGCCGGGGGCCGGTCGGCCGCGGGCCCCCCCGCGACGGCGCGGCGGCTCTGGGTGCCGCTCCGGCGAGCCTCTCAAGCAGTGGCGAAGCGTCCTGGCGTGCCTATAGGCCTACCAAGCATTGCTCTGAGAACCTGTTGTGGTTTCCACGAAATGTTCTCAGGACATTTCTGGCTGGGACGGTCTTGGTTTAGCACACCGGGTTTGATGCTCTAAGAGCATCGATTTTGTTCTTAGAACATTTGTGGATTTTAAGAACATTTCGTGGTAGGACTAGGAATGCCGGGACGTTCGGTCCCTGCTCAACAAAAGGAATTGTGATGGTCATGGTGGCGATGGCGATGAGGAGAAATGATGATGACGATGATGATGATGGTTGTGGTGGTGGTAACGGTGGTGATGACGACGATGTTGCTGCTGATGATCATGCTGATGATGATGACGCGAGTTTGACGTGACGGCATGGTTGGCAGCATTGGGTCAAGGATGTTCCCGATTATCTTGTTGTTGACCACGATCAAGTTGATCATGATCCTGATCTGTATCACGAAGACGAACAAGATGAGGAGGAGTATGAGAGTGATGATGGGAATGAGAGGGTCATGATTGGTACGGCTATAGTACACGCTTATGCATGATGGCCGTGTCCAAGCTGTTCCAGCGACCCTTCGCCCTGCGTCAGAACCTGAGCGCGCGCGAAGCGCGCTCGATGGTTCTAGCATATGTATATGTATGTATATAAATATACACGTGTAGGTCGGTGTTCTTCTCGCACGCTTCTAAGTCAGATTCGTTCCTTCTCTCTCTATCGCTCTCTCTCTCTCTTTCTCTCTCCTGTTTCACCTCTTTCTCTCTCCCTCTCTCTCTCTCTCCATCTCTCCACCCAATCAACACCGAGCCTTTGAAGCGGCCCCCTGTGCCGCCTCTCTGTGCCGTGCCCCGCATGTTCCGTCCATCGTCCAGCTGTGCAGCGAGCGTTGCCCAGCGCGGTGCTTGCGCCCTCGAGGGCTCCTGCTTCTCTTTTGAACAGCTGGGCCTGTGCGCGGCCCTGGCGGCCCCGTTCCCGTCAATCGCAGCACCTTCTTCCCCATAGCAGGCTCTGTGCGGGCCCGGCGGCCCCGTTCCCGTCCGTCGCCGCCGCCCCGCTGCGCCCCCCCCCCCCTCCGCGCTTCCCCGCACCGTACTGCAGCGCTTGGCGATCGCATTCCACGACGTTGCGCTGCACTGCTGCGCACTGCTCTGCTTCGCGTTGCTTCACACCGCTCGTGCAGTGCTCGGCATCGCTTCGCATCGCGTTCCACCTCTCTGCGCTGCGCTGCATTGCACTGGCGTGAACTGCATTGCATCACTTTGCATCGCTTTGTATTGTTTGGCACCGCTTTGCATTGCGCTGCATTGATTCGCATTGCTTTGAATCGCGTTGCATCGCTTTGCAAAGTTTGCGCTGCCTTGCATCGGTTTGCATCGCTTTGCATTGCTTTGCATCGCTTCGAATCGGACTGCATTGCGTTGCATTGCTGCGCTTTGTTTTGCATTGTGTTGCATTGTTTTGTATTGCGCTGCATCGCGCTGCATTGGTTTGAATTGCGTTGACTCGCTTGGTTTTGTTGAAGATTGCTTTGCATCGCTTTAGATTGCGTTGTAGTGCCGTGCATCGCTTTGCAGTATGTTGCAGTGCGTTGCATTGCGTTGCATTGCTCTGCATTATTTTGTGTTGCTTTAAAGCACGTTTGATTGCTGTGCATTGCTTTGCATAGCTGTGCATTGCTTTGCATAGCTGTGCATCGCTGTGTAATGCTTAGCATCGCTTGACATTGCGGTGTATTACAGTGCAGTGGTTTACAGTTTTGTATAATGCGTTGCACTGCGATGCATGTCGTTGTATAACGTTGCATTAGTTTGCATTGTGTTTCATCGATTTGTACTGCTGCGAACTGTTTTGTGTTGTTTTGCATCGCTTCGCATGGCTTCGTATTGCTTTGTACTGCTTTGCCTTGCGTTGCATTGCTTTGTGTTGCTTTGCATCGGTTTTCATCATTTTGTGTTGATTCGCTTTGTCGTGTAGGGCAGTGCATTGATTCGCATTGTTGTGCTTTGCTGTGCATCGCGTCGATTGCAACACGTCTATTGCGCCACCTGGGCTGCACCACACTGATTGCACCACCTGGACCCACCGCACGGTTTGCACGGGGTCGTTGTTTGGAGTCCACGCTGGCTAGCATCTGGTTTCCTCGCTCTGTAATTCCTTCTCCTGGCTGGACTCCGAGTCTTCCCGCGCGCAGGAGAGGGCGTGGAGGAGGCCCACACCCCGCGGCGCCGTTCAGCATCGGGGGGCAGGGGGTGCAGGCACACGCCGGAGCACAGAAGGACGGACGGGTTGGACGGCACAGCTTGTTCGACGCGGCCGCGACGCGATGAAACCCTACAGCGAAAGGCGCTTTTGCTCGGGAGCCCTGCGGATAGCCCCGCGGTGAGCAGCAGAAGCCGTGCCGTGCCGTGGATGCGCTCGGGAAGCGAAGTCCGGGCCAGCCAGAGATCTTATCGTCGACCCCGGCATGTTTCTTTTGCAGGATCTGTTCGAGGAGGTTCGCGGGAAGCCGAGGGCGTCTCAATGTTGAGCTACATTGTCAATGTCTCGCTCTCCTGGGGCTTTGCTGTGTCCCTGCTCGTTAGCATTTGTCACGTGTGCGGAGCTACACTGTCAATACCGCGCTTTCCTGTGGCTTTGCTGTGTTCCTGCTCGCAACGCACACCGCCAGAGGCGGCGGAGGGCTTGAGAGATCCACCTACCAAAAGTTGCTGCGCTGTGCCGAGCATCCTGAAACAGTCTGTTTTCAAGCAGCGCGGCATTCAGAGGCAGCGCCCACAGAAGAAAGCTTGCAAGCCGTAGTTTGTTATGGGAACAACGGTCATGGAGGAGAGAGGTCCTGGGGATGTAGCGCACTGCCGATGCTCAAATGTCCATCTCTGGGCCCCCCTGAATCGCCAAACTTACTCGGGATGTGAAGTCAGCCCTGGGGGAAACCCCAGGGTCCAGGAACCGTTGCCGCAGAGATACCTCCTGGTCCTCCTCCTGGTCCTCCTCCTCCTCCTGGTCCTCCTCCTCCTCCTCCTCCTCCTTTCATGCCAAGTAGCGCCACGATGCCCAACGATATTCCGATGATCCACGTGCTGGCAAGGCCCCATGGGCAGAAGACTTGAGGGCGCAGCTCCCAGAGGGGCACACTTCCGCGCGCCGCCCTTCGAGATCTCGTCGTGCTGACGAGTGACCCGCCACACACCAGCGCCGACGCCGGGAGGGATGCTCGTTGCATGATGTTCCAACCTACTTTAGCCTTGCTCACCAGAAAGAATGTCGAGCACCAAACAAGTAAGGACACACGATGGTTTTCACGTGTCGGGGCCTGGGAGACACGCGTCCGACACTGCTTCGACCCTGTTTCGACACTCTTTCGACACTTTTCCAGGTGCTCGAACTCACGGTTTGGGATGTGTCCCGTAAGTACGATTGGGAGCAACAGAATGCTCGCTCCTCTCGGTGCGACGACCCGAGCGGTCGGGCCCCCTCGAGGGCTCCCGCTGGAGCGCGGCCTCCTCGCAGCCCCCGGCTGGGCACGCCTGGCTCGCGGCCGCCTGAGCCTCGACCGCCCCTGCTCGGTTTTTAAGTCGGGCTTGTCCCTCTACAGGAGGAATATCCAAACATACTCAAAACATAGTCTGGGGCGGATTTGTTGATCACTCCTTGACTATTCGGGAGTGTTTTTTGGTGTAAGTTTTTCATTTTTCGTCCAAAATCCGCCTGTAGGGGGACACGCCCGACTTAATGCTCGGCCGTGGAACGCGCCCACGCTCCGCCTCCCCCTTTGCGTGGCATGGGCTCCGCGTCGGGCACGGTCGACCCGCACGGTGAGGATGAGCAAGCTTCCCAAGGGTGCCCTTTGCATCCTTGCCTCCTCGGTCCATCCTTCTCGAAGAGGGCAAGGCGGGGCTGGTGCGTCAGCAGCCAGCGTGGCGATTCTCGCCTAATTACTCCGCCGACGGCGCGACCGCGCTGGTCCACAGAGCAGGGCAATTGCTTTGCAACCTGTCATCATCATTTATGGCTGAGGCACCTGCGCTCGAGTGGGGTTTGGAGACATTCGCGAACTTGTTTGAGCAGTAGGGGCTGTGAGTATGAGAGAGGCACGCGCATATGTAGAAGAAGAAGAAGAAGCATCAACTTTTGGCGCTCCGCGCGGATTTCTTGGATCTGCGCTGGGACCCCCTGGCGCGCTCCGTGCGCATCTGGCACAGATCCAAGAAATCCGCGCGGAGCGCCACAAGTTTATGCTTATAGCGTTTTTTCTTGTTATGCTTGCATCCTTGCCTCCTGGTCCATCTTTCGCCACTTCCGTTGGCCGCGCCCCGCTCGAGAAGCTCCGCCATGAGCGTCCACGGCCCTTGCGTCCTGATCGGGTCCCGTTTCCGTGGGAAATCGCGGATCTCCGCCGCCGAGCGAGGCGGCATTGGCCGCATTTTGTGGAGGGCACCTCCCCCAATCCATGGATTTGGCGACCGCGCGCCAGATCCATGGATCGCTAATCCATGCTTGCTCGCCCCCGAATGGGCGTCTGGGGCCCTTGCGTCCTTGTAGCGCATCCTTCTGATGCGGACCAGCTGCTGGGATTCGCCACGTGATGCGAATGTCAGGTGGATGAGGCGGAGGAGGATGCGGAGGAGAGGAGAAGGACGAGGAGGAGGAGACGAGGGGAGAGGAAGGGAGGGGAGGATAATCACGTGACGAAATCACTCTGCCTACCATGGGTGTCCAAGGCCCTTGCGTCCTTCTCGCGCCTCCGTCTCCACCACGGAGTCGCCGCTTACTACCCTCGCAAACGCGTGCCTCCGATCGTGGCATCCTCCAGACTCGAAAGCTGGGCGAGGGCTGCTAAAACCGTGGCTGCTACAACGGCCTTCCCGGAAGGAATTACCCTGGCGACGTACCCAACCCCTGCGCAATGCGGGGCATGAGTAGTTTGGGAGACGTTATACGGAGGTGATGACGTGACATGGGCGCATATACTTCTGCGAGCGGCATTCGCGAGGCTCGCAGCCCCCCAGGGACGGCGAGGTCTCGCTCAGATCCGCGCGGTGCCTCACTCCGCTGGACCCATCAGCAGCCCTCGAAAGTGGCGACAGTTTCGCAGATCGCAGCCCCCCAGGGACGGCGAGGTCCCGCTCAGATCCGCGCGGTGCCTCGCCCAGCCCACCCCGGGACGTCCATGGATTTTTGGTGTGGGAACGTCGCGCTTTCCATCGCAGAACCATCGAGACCCAAGAAACCCAGGGCACCCTGGAGGCAAGCGGGGGATTCTTCCTGGCATGGGCCCCCACCGTTCTCTCGTTTTCGCAGTTTGGGCCTCCTGGGAGGCCCTGCCTGGGCGCGCCGCCGATCCTGCATCCCGCAGAGCTCGGCTGGACCGGGTGACGAGGTGTCGGGTTTCGGGCGCTCGTTTGTCGCACCAGCCCCTTGCTCGCTCGATTGTGTTTTCATGTCTTCTGCCTTGGCAGTCGCCCCCCGTGGGAACCACCCATCCACCGGGCGTTCCGCAATTCCATGCCTCGTCAGTTCATGTGTGTGTGATTCGATGATTGCGTCGTCGTGTTTGTCGGGTGTTTCCCGCCCTTCGCTATCGAATTGTATGCGTGTTTCGTAGCGTGTTTCGCGTCGTAACCAGGTAAGGTTGCCGTACTAGTTCATTATGGTTTGTGCTATGTTCAGATTGTGAGACTTACTAAGTTACTAGGATGGTTATCTGCAGTGTTGTGGCAAGTGTGTGGGAAGAAGTGCAACGGAAATGTTTGGTGCTATGCAGTATTGCCTTGTGTTCTGAGCAGGCCACCAAGTGGCTTGTGCAGATGATGACCGAGCAGAAGGAACTACGCTCGCCCAGCAAGTGCGGTGAGGGCAGGTGGAAATGTTAGGATCATGGTGGGGAGAATCCGTAGTTGGAGAATGGGCACTTCAAATCAGTTACAGAGCAGTTAAAGTGTCAACATGCTCCTCTTTCGGCTCGGCGAAACGGAAATCAGCATGTGCGAGTTGCAGAGAGTTCCGCTTTCGCTCGTGAGTGCGTCCAGCTCGCAGTCCAAAGCCCGACCGCATCCAGCAAGCATCTCCTTTTCGATGACCTCCAGTGCGACGCTCGCCTGGCACAGTCGCATCAGGCAATTGCCAGGATGGGCGTCATTGATTTCGTTCCTTGGCTTCGGCCATGACTATTTCGATACGATGATGCTGATGGTGATGGTGATGCTGATGATGCTGATGATGATGATGGTTATGTTTCTTGGCTTCGGCCATGACTACTTTCCGATACGTGCCCAGCCGTTGGCCTGCAGCTATCTCTGCGTCCGAGTGCGTGCGCATCTGCTACTTGCGTGCGCGTGTGATCTGCGTGCTCTTTTGTGCGCGCGAGAGCCTGAGCACGTACACATACAGATGTATATAGCCATATACATACACATGTATATAACATGTTGTGAGAGCTTGTATGTTTGTATGCTTGTCTGAAGGTGTTGGTGCGCGCGCTTCTGGGCGTCTGCGCCTGTACGTGCGCGCTTGTGTGATCGGCTGCGGCTCTCTGACTCGGAACCGCGCAAGCCGAGGACCAGGAGGGCAAGCCCTGAGCGGCAATGCCAAATGCTCCTTCCTTCGCTTTGCCAGGAACTGCTGCTGATCTCAGACCTGCACGGGCCAGCGTGCGACGAAAAGGGACGGACCGATTCGTGCTTGCGCTCATGTTGTACGTCGCATTTGGTCGCCCTACCCTCGACGCCGCTGGGTTTAGTTTCGACCGTCCCAGAGCTCGTTTCGTCCTCGAAGGCGCGGGGATATGACATCGGATAACACCAAGCCGGCAGCTTTGTAAGATCGGCCAGGCTTTCAGACAGGTGATCGTTTTCTTATCCATTGGTTTGCCGATCGGCGCGGGCCCTCGCAATGCCCCCTCCCCTTCCCCGACACGGAGTAGATCTTGGCTGTTTTTGGCGCCTGTTTCGAGCATGCGGATTCTCTCCCCCATAGGATGCACTGCTGCAAACATCCGCATGAAGCAGAGGTCCAGAGCCAGACCCCCCCTTCCCTCCCCTTCGGCTCAATGCCGAAACACCGAATAAGAAAACGTTCACCAGAGGGTGCAGACGGCAGTGGTGGGACGTGTCGCTTGTTGTTCCGATGGTAGGCGTACAAGTCATGTCAGGCCAGTTAATCATAGTTTGTTGGCGCGTAGGCGGTACTAATGCCGACCTGTAGCGATTCGCAAAACAGCTCGCTAACAACGCACGGTCAGCAGAGGAGGGAGAATGTTAAAGAAATTGACGCGGGGGAACTCGGTGTAAGTTGTGAGCAAAGGTTGCATCCGTTAAGATTAAGCATTGACGCCCATTTGACGCTCACTATGAACTCTTCGTCTGCGGCAGCCAATGTACCGAGAAAGTCAGGGTGGATTTTCGAAGTTCATACTACGGGTGTTGTTGCAGAGATCCATCCCACTGCAATCAAAATGTCAGGTGCAGGAATGGATTAGCACATCAGGTGCATTGTGCTTCGCAATCCTCGTAAGATGCAAGTCCGTGTGCCCACCCGAACATAATGAAATGATGCTATGTGTGGTTTCTGCGCCCGTGCCAGGGATTGTGGTGACGTCTCGAATGAAAGTATGTCGTAGGCTGTCGATGATGGATGTGTGCTGCCGCGCGTATCCGCCACCGCGCTATGGACGCGGGGGGGCTGAGCATGTGCGTTGCCAGTTGCCTTTAATTTCGTTTGTCGCATTCTTCCGATCGGAAGACTGGAGATCTAGGAACATGGATTCGAGGCTGGGATGTTCAACGTATCCCCCGCCTCGGGAACCGATGCCCCCCCCGAGCCCCAGGAAGTGGTGGACGTGGTGCATATATCTGCCACTCCCCCCTCCCCGCGGGGCCCCAGAATATCCGTACTGATAGGACCACCCTTCGGGTGAGAAGGAGGTGGTGGGGTGGAAGGGAGAGGCGATCGATTTGCGATGGCTCTGAGTTCTTGGTGGTGGTGGTGGGTGGTGGTGCTATCTATCTATCCATAGATCGACATATGTATATCTATACATATATGTATATATAAATACACAAGACTGCAGTGGCGCTTCGCGCCATGCACCTTGGTCCTTGAAGATTGGTATGCAGGCGGAAATGGCAAGAAGGTCAAGCGGACAATGTTGCGATAATTCCTTGCTCCCTTTTTTGGCATCGCCGTTATAATAATGTTGTTTGTTATCCCTCTTCCATGCTTGTTTTTCGTAATTCTCGCCATGCCCTGGGTAGTCTCCCCATCCTCCTCAACTCTTTTTTGCGGAGGCTCCTCCTTGAAGAGCCCCTTTGCGCTCGAGGAGCGTTGCAGGAACTGTCCTTCAAAGGGGCGCGCGCTTCTGCGAGCCAATTTTGCGAGGCGACACGATTCCCGCCGTCGTCCCAGAGCTAGCATGGCCCCGATTGCCTCTCGCGCTGCACGCTGGAACGATGGCTGGCCATGGCAAGATCCCGATCGCTCGTTCTACCAGCACCGTGGGAACACTCCGTCGACGTGGAAGTGCCCTCAGTGCGGATGCAAGAAGAACAAGCAGCAGTGGCAGCAGTGCAGTGCAAGCACTGCTGGTCCTGGCGCAGCTCGCCGTCCTTCGACATGCATCCCTCGCCGCAAGGGGTCTGGCAAGGACAGTCGCAGCAAGCAGGGCCCCAAGGTGCTCAGCCTCCTCCTGGTTCTTGGTCTGGCACGCTTCCTGTGCAGCCAGGCCCGTTGTTCCAGCAGTCAGGAGGGTCTCTTCCGCGACCTGGAGGAGCCGTGGTGGAGTCGGCCAAGCTCTGTGAGGTCATCGCCTACATGCGCTCAGTGGGCGACTCCGACGGCGTTGCCAAGTACCAGAAGATCCTGGACTCCAAGCACGTGGTGCAGAAGGTCGACCCCCCCCCCGCCAGCAGCAGGTGGGCAAGGCCTTCCACGACATGCGCGCCCTGGAAGGCAAGCTCAACAAAGCGGTCACGTACTTCGAGAGGCTCCAGAAAAACTTGGACGCCCAGCGCATTGTGGTGCAGTCTTTCACGGAGGAACTTTCCAAGGCTGAGCAACGTCACGAAGGACTCGTTCAGCAGCTGGCCGAGCATGTGGGTGGTGAAGCTGCTGGAGAACAGCAAGCGTCGACACCTTCGATCCCGATCGAGGACATTCTCCAGGGCAAAGAGCTGCCTATCAACTTGGACTCGCTGCTGGCACCCGAGGCTGAGTACGACCTCTCACCTGAGGACAAGAGAGAGGCAGAGACGCGGCTCAAGACGTTGCAGCAGTCGATCTCTCAGCAAGTACAGCAGCTATTTGGAGCAGCTGCTGAGCAGGCAGCCAAGTTTCGTGAGGAGCAGAAGAAGCAGTTGGAGCGCCTGGCAGGCAAGCGCCGGCGCGTCGCTGAAGGAGGTGAAGGAGCTGCAGCGGCAGAAGATGCACCAGCAGCTGACGGTGACGGCAAAAGTGCTGCCGAACCAGAGTCGGCGCCTGGTGTCCCCGCGGGTGGTGGTGAGCCTGCTGGGCAGCCAGCTGCTGCTCCTGGAGCCGCGACCGCGGACCATGCTGATGCCGAGGATGCCCGCGCCCGAGCACGCCGTGTGCTTCAACGAGCTCCCCCCCCCCCCCCCTTCAGGCGCATCGGCGTGAAGGGGGGATGCGATTTCAGCACATGCTCCCCAGTTTCGTTCTGGACATGCTGACCTGACAGCCTCGCCAGGCCCAGCTGCCAGCATTCTTTTTCCAGTCGGACCAGGGCCTTGCTGGCCCTACCTGCTTTTGGAACCCTCCTTGTGAGCCTCATCACTCGGAGGGCCCAGCGGCGGTGCCCCCCTCTCGTCCCCGCGTTGCGCCCGTAGCGGTGTTGAAAACGGCCTTGAGAAGAGCAGGGCCGCCGCGAACCCTGCTCTTTTTTGCGCAGACAAGTCTAACTCTTATTATGTGGCCTATCGGCCGTTCCCCCGTCGCCCCCCCCCTGACATGAACGGCGCGTCGCGGCCTGCAAGTCGGTTCCGTGGCTTGTTAGCGGTTGCGCGTCGCACGCTCTGGAGGGCTGCGCGAATTTTGAATGGAGGGCGGACGACCCGCACTTCCCTGCCAGCTGACCCCCCTTGTAAGCTGGCCAGTTTTGGACACAGATCCTCTGTTTACACCGTCCTGGGCTTTCCAGGCGCGGGTGGCCCTGTGGAGATGGTGCCTGGCCCCAGGATCTCTCCCCCTCCTCTTCCGTGCCTCGCTCCTCCCTCTCCTGGCCAGGTCCAGGGGTCTGACGGGCTGAGCTCGGTGCAACTGTTGATTCGAAGTATGAGTGTGAACTCGTGGGGCACGCTCAAGAAGCTTTTGCCTGACACGCCTGCCAACGTCGTGTTGGTGCAGGAGCATCGTCTGCTCCACGCCGAGAAGATTTACGCGGCATCTCAGTGGTGTGCTCGAAATGGTTGGAAGTCTCTCTGGTGTCCCGCCTGCGAGACCGACTCCGACACCTCAGGAGGTGTCGCCGTGCTTGTTCGTGATTGGCTCGGCCTCATTTCTCTTGTGGGAGGGTTTGTTGTTTCCAAAGGCCACGCGATGGTGGCCGATGTTCAGGTCCCAGGGGGCTTCACTGTCAGGATTGGGAGCGTTTATTTGCACCGCAGTGAAGGCCTGTCGGAGCGAAACTTGGAAGTGTTGGCCTCCTTAGGGGCGAGATGCTCGGGGTTCCCTGGTTCGTTCGTGTTGGGAGGGGATCTCAACCTTCCCCCCATCGCACCTTGCCGCTTCCAAGTTTGTCTCCGAATTGCAGGGCCAGCTGATAGATCCAGACGGCTGCGCCTCCTTTGGGGATGGAGCCCCATCCAAGATTGACTTTTCCGTGTGCAGTGGAGGCCTTGGAAAGGCGGCTGCTTTTTGTGAAGTTGTTATGAGCGCGGAACTGAGCCCGCACCGTCCTGTCGATCTCAAGTTCCACCCTGCGCCTGCTTCTTTGAAAGCCTTAAGTTTCCGAAAGCCTCCCCCGCTCCCCTCGGATCCTGTGTTTGGTCCCAAGCCCCAGCAGCAGGATTGGACTCAGGTTCTGGACATGGCTCAGGAGGGCCTTCGAGAGGCCGGACGCGGGAATGGTACTCGGGCGGCAAGTCTCCTCACCCTTGGCTACGGTGTCTGGGCTGACGTTGCGGAAGCGGAGCTGGTTCCCCTCTTAGGTGCCGACTTGATCAGGAAGGGGGCGAGGAGTGCGGGGCCTCAGCTCATGTGGAGATCGGTGGTGGGACGGGACAGCAAGCCAAGGTATCCTGCCCACAGGGCAATCAAGTGGCTGGGGGCCGAGTCTCGTAGCTTGGTCTCACTGCGCAGGGACAGCCGAGGTTTGTCTGCGCAGGCGCAGGCCATCCACGCCTCTTTTCTTTGCTGGCCTGCCTCTGCCTCTTGCCGCGCGAAGGAGTACCAGAGCTCATTCGATTGTATCAGGCGCTTCGTTCAACAGCATTCCTCATCCCAATGGACGGTGGAGGTGATAGCTCTTGGTGAGGCGCAGCTTGAGGGTCTTAAGACGACCCTGGCCGAGGCGGGCTCGCGGTATAGAGCCAGGTCCAATGCGGATTTGCGTTCTTGGTTGACCGCTGGCCTGGACAAGGGGGCCAAAAAGGGCCCACACCATCACCAAAGACCCTTCGCCCTGGAGGCCGACGACGACGTTGGCGGCGGACGGCT